CCGCGCTTAGTTTGTGTCCCAGGTGGGACACGCGCGTCCAGAATTAGGCACAGGTCCCGCCACACTTTTGGCAAACCACCCACCCAATGAGGTAACCCTGTGCGACCGAATTGAAGGTGGCAAAACTTCGCGCACACCAGACACTCGAACCGCCCCACTCTGCCAACCACAAATCTGGGTTTGCGAGGGTCGTACGCGCTTGACGAAGTCGTGGTGCGGTTTCGCTGACCTGCACAAGGGCTTTTTCAAATGTCGCACGGGTTGTTCGCGGCCGTTGTGGGAACGTGTTTTGTTCGGTTGACGGCACGGAAAACAGCCACCGTTCATCCACTGTATACTCCGTCGTGTCCACAGGTTACCCTAAATCAGGGTTACAAACCGCTGAATCTGGTAACTGTTTCGGGCTAAGCCAGGAAAATGAACGCGCTGCCCCCGCCCTTAGGGTCTGCAAGCTGAAGAAATCCCCTCGGCGGGATAAAACAGGCGCCGCAACTCTGGCAGCAGCACCTGCACAAAATACTCCTGGAAATAGGCTTCAGGCAGCTGCCGCATGACCCAGGAATGTACCACCTCCACTTCAACGGCGTCTACATCCTCCTGACCGTCTACGTCGACGACCTACTGTACACTGGCACCTGCAACAAGCTCCTTAATCAGTTCGAAGAGAACCTGGCGAAGCGCGTTGACATTACCATCAACCACAACGTCACACAGTTCTTGGGGCTGAACATCACCTATGTGCCAGAAGCAATTCACCTGTCAGCCTCCAAGTACGCAGAGCAGCTGGGAGAACGCTTCAATATTTCGCCCGCACCACTCTCAAACCCCTATCGCAACCCCAGCGCCAACAACAAACCGAAAAACAAACCCCTGTCACCCGCAACTGTACCAGCAGCAACTGGGATGTTTGTTGTTCGCCTCTGTCACATGCCGACCCGACCTTTCGTACATCGCCAGCCAACTGGCACAGTACTCCCGCAATCCAGTGGCTGAGAACCAATTGGACCTGGAGCGCGCCCTGCAATACTTCGCCTCCACACCTGACATTGGGCTCTCCTACTCCACGCTGGCAACAACCTCCTTCAACCTCAACGGCTACGTGAAAGCAAATCATGCGGCTGACCCTGCCAATTGACGACCCGAACCGGCTTCGTCTTCCGACTGGATCCAACCAGACTAATCTCCTGGAACTCGCAAAAGCATGTTGTTTCCCTGTCATCGGCCGAAGCAGAATACATCGCCGCGACAGCAGCAGTTCGCGAAGGCCTGTACCTGCAGGAGCTGCTAAAAGAGGCGAAAATTCCAACCTTGCCTACTTTTTGCCTTCACTGCGACAACCAGAGCGCCATCAAGATCGCGAACAAGCCAGGGTTCGTGAACCGCACGAAGCACATTGCACTTCGGTACTTTTTCGTCAAGGACGAAATTGACCAAGGCAAGGTTGACCTCGCATACTGTCCATCCACTGAGATGGCAGCCGATTGCCTCGACAAGCGTCTGCCATGTCAGCAGTTCAAACACTGCTCCGACCTCACCGGAGTAGTCAAGCGAGTCAGCCCTCCGCGCGACCAGGAATGAAGGGGAGTGTTACGATATGAAACTTTATGAGAAGGCATTCATGTATGCTGCATGAGCCAACTCTAGCAAGTACGAAGTCGAGGCGTCAGAAGAGTCGAACAACACCAGCAACCGTCAGATCAAGACCGATGCAGGCAGAAACATTTGAAATGAAAAGAGCGGGAACAGGTTTGAAACGGGTTCCCGCGCCGCACGATTTGAACTTCGCTAAGGGAAAGTACCACTTAGAGTACATGGCTAGTCTAGGTCGTTTCGTATTCCTTTGTATTTCCTATATAAACTCGAATGTATGCATGCTATTATCATCTCAGTCATTTACATTCACTATAACCTGAGTTCAATACTCCGGCTGCAAAACCACCTGCGATCAACTTTGAGCGATCCTTCACTAAGTCCCATTTCAGATTGTAACACAGTTAATACAAATATATGTTATTTGACATGAAGGGACGTGCATGGGCGTAAACCTAAGTGCAACGTGTGGGGCCTGCGGGAGCCATCATAAGGTTGGGGAGAGAGACCCGTGACGTGCGGCTCGGGAGGCACTCTATGTGGCTGGCCGGAGGCCTCGAAGGGGCCGACAATAAGAGCTTTAAGGGGGTCCGATTGGAGGCCTCGAAGGTGTGTGACGGGAGGCACTATAAGGAGCCGACACGAGGCCTCTAAGGGAGGGTCGATGGTATGCGCTCTCAGGGCGCGCTAGACTAGGAGGTTGGCTGGGGAAACTTATGGCTGGAGGGACGGCTGGCCGGATGGCAGGAGCACTAACCTTCGACGGGACGGCCAGGGCCTAGGAAGGTAGATGGTGGGCAGTCTAGAATGTCAGAATCCTAGCCACTAAACTACTGGGATAAAAGGGCTTGTTAAAACTGGAGTCTCAAGTTTCCCGAAGTTGCCTCATCCTTCCTACCTTTGGTTGGGTTACAAAGTCCAACCAACCTTCCTACCTTTGAAACCTGTGGACCCTGGGTTTTAAGTAGTAGCACATTAGTGCTCCCATAACTCCGTAATCCTTCCCTAAGGTCAACCAGACAACCCTATTGCTGGTCTTTTGACACCCACCATCACATTAATGCCCAAGGACACTGCATAGTAGTAGCGCTTGCATGTGCACACAATGGGATTCGAACCCGAAACATAGTACCCTTCCAATCCCTAGACCACCGAGATTTGTTAAATAGTGGATCAGCGCACCTATATCCCCGTAGGCTAACGAGCCAGTAATCCTTCCCTCAGCCAGACATCAATAATGCTTGTTTTCTGACTTAGAACCGTAGGCGGTGGAACGAACCTATGATGGTACCATGTTGAACATAGGTACACATGATTTTTTATTTAATTTATCTTTGAAGTTTCATCGTTCACTGTTGCTCGAAGTCAATATAGAGTACGGAATATCCCATTCATCGGACACCACACAACGAGGGAGAATTTAGTGGCCCGCCTATTGGCAGTCTGCACATCGATCTCTCTTTCTTCCCCTCGTCAGATCCCGTCGATACGTTCATCATGCTGACTCCACCGTTACTCGCGTTGCTAGCAGCTGAAACTATATTCGCGCTGTTGTTAGCCGTACCATGGCGGCCCGTTCGCCGAATCCCTGTCATGCTCGTCGGTTTCTTCAAGGGCGCCGCCATGCGCGTCGTCGTCTCGACGGTGGCAGCGCTGCTGCTCGTGCTGCTGTTAGTTGGCGGCGCGCAGCTGTGGCAGCTGCAGCAGCGTCTGTCTGATCCGACGGCGGCCGGCATGTTCGCGTCGGGTGCGGGCGGCGGGGGGTTCCACGAGGCGCGGGTGGAGCTGCTGCAGGCCGCCGTGCAGGAGATGCTGCTGGGTGCGCGGGGGGGGGGGGGGATGGGGAGGGGAGAGAGGGGTGGGGGAGGGGAGTTGGGGGGAAGGGTGGGTGGGGGGGGCATGTGGGGGATTCGTAGATGTGAAATTACTGCGGGATGATGTACGGAGAGGGTGTAAAGAGCGAGATTCGTGTGTGTGTGTGGGTGGTAAAGCTCGAATGATCTGGCATGCTTATTGGGAGAAGGCAGAGCGCAGTGGATTTGGTCGGAGACGGGTCGCGAACGGTCGGTCGCGACGATGCGTGGCCGTTCGCGGACGGCACGGGGTGCGAGTGCATCTGGGCGGTAACGCGCGTCCTGATTGACGTGTATAGTTGACTTCTCTTCCTAACCTCCTCCTACACCGGCACAGCTGCTGTGACGTGCCTGCTCTTGCACACAAGCAAGAATATTCTTCAACCACTCGTTTCATCTCCTCTCCCCCGCACCCCACACCCCACACCCCGTACCCCGCACCTTGCACCCCGCACTCCGCACCCTCTCCCGTGCGCGCATGTTCCTTCACCCGCGCTCACCTGCCAGGCTACGGGCTGCTGCTGGGGCTGGTGATAGGGCAGCTGGCGGGCAGCATCCGCGAGGGCGAGGTGGCGGCGCTGAGCATCGCGACGCTGAAGAAGCAGGCGCAGGGGCTGCAGGACGAGTACATGCGCCTCGCCAACGAGCGCTCGGGCGAGCGCGGCGTGGAGGAGGAGGCGGTGAAGAAGGCGCGCGGGCTCAAGGACAGCATTGCGCGCCTGGAGAAGGAGATTCGCCACAAGGAGGTGAGGGCGGTGGAGGGTTTGCTGGGTGGTTTGGGGGTGGTTTGTACTCGGGGAGTAGGTTCATGTGGAGTGTGATCTGTTTTGATGTTGTTTGCTTGCAAAATGTTCTGCAGGTTGCTTTCTAGTGTAGAGTTGTGTGCACGAGTAGATGGGTGGACAAGCTTTCATACATGTGGTTCTGCGTGTCTACTCAGGAGGAGGTGGAGACTTGGCAGGGGCGCACGAGGGCAGCGGAGACAAACGTGGCGGCCATTCGCAAGCAGACGGAGGGACTGCAGCTAGAGTATGACCGGCTGCTGGATGAGAACGAGAGCCTGCGCGCCCAGCTCGCTGTCTTTGACCGCAAGTTTGCATCCAAGAGCAAGAAAGACCTCTAGTGGTAGAGAACATGCCAGCGCTTATGGCATGGTTCAATAGTAGTTTCAATTCCGAGGGTGGGATTAGTTCAGTATGTCAAATATGGAATGCAGGGGTTCCTACCGTATGAGAAGTTGGGTGGAAGTTGGGGGAGAGGGAAGTTGGGTAGGGGTGAGCCCTTCACCGTCCGTTGTTTTAGCCTTCTAGTTTTTCTTTCATATGCACCCACGACCTTGCAGATGGCAAACGGTATTTGGTGTGCATCACTTCGCCTTGATAATAAGTCTCGGCATGGCACTTCGACGCGCCCGCGAAAGAGGGGGTTCACAGAAATGAAAGCACTGGTCATTCATGTTCGGTGTTGCCATTCTCGTAACTCGTTCTTTTCCGCTCATTACTCATACCCTCAGTGGAATCTAAGGCAAACTTGTCGTGTCCTTCCTCGTGTCGCACCATGCGCCTACAGGGTTCTTGCCATTGCCGTGCCGTGACGTTCTCTTTGGAGTCTAGCAGCCCATGCCCGTATCAGGTGCTGTTTAGGAGCATTTATACACTAATTCGTTACCGATTTAGTGTTTTCAGACTTGTTCGTGGCATGTCGCCATGCTGCGCTTGCCCCTTCGACTTTCTCGCGTAACCTTCGAGAGGTTGACGCGACTATCTGATTAGTGATTATAGATCTCGTTAGTTCGTTTTATTATGAGTGTTGGCTCGAGCACAGTGTTTCTGGTGGGAGACGTTACAACTCACAGTCTCTCACACTCGGAGTACCTAGCTTCCTCTCTTCCTTCCCCTCGGACGCATGCCGTACCTCCTCCGTCCTTGTATGACGACTAGGTCAAGCAGCAGTTGATTTGAGCTTGCATCGCAATTCTCCTCAAACTTCCATCCTCTTCCCCCACACCTTCCCTCTCCCCCTCCTCCCAACCCCCCCTAACTCCTCCCGGGCCACTCCCCCTTGCGCCCCCTCCCGCTTTCCCATCCCCCCACCCACCCCCCTACCCACACCGCCCCTCTCCCAGCTATGCTACTGCAGCATCTGCCGCAAGGTGGGCGGGTCAGGCGGGTTTGGCATCAACATAGGGGGCGATGCGAGGACGATGCAGGTGCAGGGGGAGGAGCACCTGGCAACGTACCGGGCCAAGATGAGGGCGGACACGGGCGAGGTGAGGGCGGATGGGGATAGGCGGACGGGATGGTTGCGTGGGAGAGAGGGATGGGGTGGTTGGAATGATAGTAGTATTGATTGCATCGTCGAGAGCGCGAGCTGCAGGTGGGTATAACAAAGGAGGAAATCTGACTTGCGGAATCTGTTTTACCACCAGAATCTTGTTCTTTCAATATTCATTGCTGCTGTGCCTTGTGCCTCCCCAACCCCCCCTTCCCCCCTTCCCGCCCGTCCTCCTCCCAAGGTGACTGAGAGCGGTGCGCAGCGGAGATTCTGCCGTGAGTGTGGGTCGCACCTGTGGCTGTATGACCCCAGGTGGCCTGACCTCATCCACCCCTACGCCTCTGCCATTGACTCGCCCCTGCCCACCCCTCCTGAGCGCACACACCTGATGCTCAACTCCAAGCCCGCGTGGGTGCAGGCGAGCGTGGGCCCCACCGACAAGAGCTTCCAGGGGTACCCGCAGGAGAGCCTGGCCGACTGGCACAAGCGCACAGGGGTTGGGCAGTGAGAGGGGCTGGGTAGGAAGGGATAGAGAGAAGGGTTTTTGTGCATGTGACGGTCTGTGCAGGCCTAGGATAGTGGTGTACAGGGCTGGATGCATGGTTGGTTGGAGGAGATGGTGTGGTGGAAACTGGGATTCCACTGAGGTGAAATCCAGAAATAGGTTTGTGCATGGTACCTTTGTGTATATACGGTACTGCAGTTACTTTGTGTATAGCGTATACACCAACAAATACCAATAGTAGCTATTCTGCATACCGTAATCTCCCGGATACAGTACCCCCCCGCGGAGAAGACCCCGGGTCCTCTTTCCGGACCAAGGGTCTTTTATTCCGACCTGTTCTCGTGAGGACTGTCAAATGTTGTAGCCTATAGTGAGGTTTGTCTTAGGGGGTACAAAACTTAGGGTTAGCTATATGTACCCCAACCAACATCAATGCATCATTCATTCCTCATTCTGACATGGTATCAGATAGGTTAGGATCCTGTGGGATCCCGTTTCTCCGTTCTCCGATCGTACCACCCGAGCCTGATCCTAGCTCTCGTTTCGCCCGTCTTGCCCGAGCCTAGTGCCGGCCCGATCTAGTCCCGTTCGTTCGTTACCGCTCGTTCTTCCTCCCGATCTAGCGTAGCCCGATCTAGCGTACCGCTGCCGGTCGCGCTGCGCTTTCCCCCCCCCCGCTGCCCGTCGAACCGCGCTTCCCCCCGCTGCCCGTCGACCCGCGCTTCCCCCCGCTGCCCGTCGACCCGCGCTTCCCCCCGCTGCCCGTCGACCCGCGCTTCCCCCCGCTGCCCGTCGACCCGCGCTTCCCCCCGCTGCCCGTCGACCCGCGCTTCCCCCCGCTGCCCGTCGACCCGCGCTTCCCCCCGCTGCCCGTCGACCCGCGCTTCCCCCGCCGCCCGTCGACCCGCGCTTCCCCCCGCTGCCCGTCGATCGCGCTTCCCCCCGCTGCCTGTCGACCCGCGTTTCCCCCTGCTGCCCGTCGATCCGTCGCCCTGGCCCGCGCCCCAGCCCGTCTCCCCAGCTCGCGCCCTAGCCCGTCGCCCTGGCTCGCGCCCTAGCCCGTCGCCCAGGCCCGGCGCCTTTGCCCTACCCGCGCGCCCGCCACACCTGACCTACCCGCCCGCTCTTGCCCGCTCTTCCTGCCCGTTCTCCCTTGCCGCTGCGCCCTGCTTTCCCTGCCAATTCCGTTTGCACACTATGGCGACCCCTCGCGTCCTTCGTTTCGATGCTGACGGTCGCCCGCTCGATTTCCCAGTCTGGCTTCTTCGCGCTCGCCGCCTGTTAGAGAGTCAGGTCCAGGCAGGCGAGACCCTCTGGGCGCACGCTACTGGTGCCCTACCTGCGCCCCCCGACCCTACGCCTTTAGGACCTGCCCCTGACGACGCCGCTAGAGCCCGCTTTGCCACTCAGCGAGCTGACCAGACGGCTTGGACGTCACGTGACGCTGCGGCCTGCATCGCGCTCAGCAGCCTCCTCCCTGAGTCTGAGGAGGTTCACTTCACTCAGGTTCGCACCGCTGCTGCGTACCTCACTGCGATTAAGGCCCGCTACTCTACTCCCGCTGCTGTCTCTCTTGGCCGCCTGTTCCTCCCGTTCCTGTTTCCTGACCTAGCGTCTTTTGAGCGCTCTGCTGACTTGATCGCTCACCTCCGCTCGCTCGACGCTAGTTACCGCGCTGCTTGCACTGAGGCACAGCTTGCACTGCTTCCTCCCCCTATGGCGATTACTATCTATTTCATCGCCACTAGCCTCCCTGACCGCCTTGCCTCCGTTCGCGACGCGCTTCTGCTGAAGCACCCTAGTGAGCTCACCGTCGAGGTTCTTGAGTCTGCACTCAAGGACGTCGAGAGCAACCTTCGCTCGGTAGCCGCTGCCTCTGGTGCTGTGCCCCCCCCACTCTTCCACGGGTGCACAGTCCCGCAGTTACCCACCTTTACTGCCTCACTTGCCACTGCCGCTACTGACGCGACTGCAGCTGCTGTTACGACTGCGTCGCGGTCCCGCGGTAGGAGTGGCAAGAAAGGCGGTTCTGGTGGTGGTAGTGGAGGTGGAGGCGGAGGTAGTGGAGGTGGCGTTGCGCCTGGCGGCGGTGGAGGTTCAGGGCCTGGAGAGGCGCCTCGTGCAGTGACTGGTGACTCCACTGCGCCTGCTGGTGGTGGCGACGCCCGAGTTCGTCAGTCGCCTCCTGTACTTCCTGCCCCGGTTGGTGGAGCAGCGGCGTGGTACCAGGCTCAGCGTCAGCAGCAGCTTCTGCAGCACCAGCAGCCCCTCTCCTCCCAGCAGCCTCAGCAGCAGCAGCGGCAGCAGCTGGCTCCAGGGTCGGGGCTGCGTCAGACCCAGCGCGGTGCTGCTTACACTCCCTGCACCTACCAGGTTCTGACAGGCCCTCGTCGTGGCCACCCTTGTGGCCGGTTTCACCCCCCTGGTCAGTGCTTTGCTCAGCTCACTGACACGGTTCGTTTGGTCTACGGGGTTGGTGCTCCTGCCCCTGACTGGCTGCCTCTTGTTCAGCGCTACGGCTCCGCTCTGTGGGGCATGTCTGCTGAGCAGTTAGTTGATCTCATTGGTACTCCCCATGCTATGTATGCTGTTGTTGACTCTAGTGTTTCTGACTCTGCTTACTCTGGTGTTGTTAGCTTAGGTGCTAGCCTTGCTCAGTTGCCTGTTGCTAGTGTAGGTTCTTGTGTAGACTCTAGTCCAGCGGCTACCTCAGAGGACGGTTCGCTGTCGTTCACGCTGGACTCTGGAGCTTCTCACTGCTTCTTTCGTGACAGCACGACACTTACGCCTCTTCCTGCGCCTGTTTCTGTGGCGCTGGCTGATCCCACTTCGGGACCAGTCACCGCGCGTCACACTACCACCTTGCCGTGTCCGGCTGCTCCTTCTGGGTCTCTCACTGGGTTTCACGTCCCCTCGTTCTCCCGGAACTTGGTGGGCGTGCGACCCCTCGTGAGTCAGCACGTGGGTGTGTGGTTTGAGCCTTCTGGAGAGACTGCGGTGTGTGTTGACGGGGACTCTTACCAGCCCCTCGCCACTTTTGCTGCTGAGCCGGGCTCCGGTCTCTACACTCTTCACACTCGCCCGCGCGCTCAGCAGCGACTGCAGCAGCAGCAGCAGCCGCAGCAGCAGCAGCGGCAGCAGCCGCAGCCGCAGCCACAGCCGCCCCTCCTGCCCCCGGCCCCTGTTTTGCCTCCCGTTCGAGTCCTCGCGTCTCACCAGGTTGCTCCGTCCCCCCAGGTAGCTGTGTCTTGTCAGGTTCCTCCGTCTAGTCCGGTCGCTGCGTCGTGCTCCTGCAGGTCGCTTGCCCATCCCACCGTTTTGTGGCACCACCGGCTGGGGCACCCTTCTCCTCCTCGTCTTCGCGCTATGTCTCGTCAGCGTCTTGTCTTAGGTCTCCCGCGTGTCTTGCCGTCGCTGCCGCCGTCCCTTGCACCACCGTGCGGTCCTTGCGTCGAGGGTAGGCTGCGCGCCACCCCTCACTCCTCCTCCCTTCGTCCGGCCACCGAGCCTTTTGAGACGCTGCACTTGGACGTCTGGGGCCCCTCTCCTCGCCCTGGCCCTGAGCGTGAGCGTTTCTTTTTTGTGGTCGTTGACGACTACTCCCGCTACACCACAGTGTTCCCCCTGGCGAGGAAGTCTGAGGTGACTTCTACGCTGATCAAGTGGTTGCTTACCACCCAGGACACTCGTGGTCGTCGTGTCAGCTGTCTCCACTCCGACCGCGGGGGCGAGTTTCGCTCCGGCATTCTCGCTGGATTCTGTCGCGAACAGGGCATTCGTCAGTCCTGGACGCTTCCGGAGTCCCCACAGCAGAATGGGGTTGCTGAGCGTCGCATAGGCCTGGTCATGGAGATTGCCCGCACCTCCTTGACTCACGCCCGTGCCCCCCATTTCCTGTGGCCATACGCGGTCAGGTACGCCGCGCACCAGCTGAACCTCTGGCCACGCGTCTCTCGGCCGGAGGCTTCACCGACCAGTCTTTGGACAGGGTCCCCTGGTGTCGCGTCGAGGTTTCGTGTCTGGGGGTGCTTGGCTCTTGTCCGCGACACCTCCGCGGACAAGCTCTCGCCTCGCGCCGTTCCTTGTGTCTTCCTTGGTTTCCCTGAGGACTCCTCTGACTTCACCTTTTACCACCCTCCCTCTCACCGGTTCTTTGACTCCCGTGACGTCCGTTTCGAGGAGTCCACCCCCTACTACGTCAGGTACCCCAGTCGAGGTCTCCCGGTCCCTCCCCCCCCTCTCTTCCTGACCGCCGCTCCCCCGCCTGCTCCCCCGGTACAGCCTCCCCCCCCTGGTCCAGCCCCGTCTGGTGTGTCTCAGGCTAGCCCTCCCCCTTCGGTAGCCCCCCCTGTACAGCCTCCCTCCCCACAGTCTTCCTTGCCGCCTCCTACAGGTTCTCCCTCTCGGGAGGTTGGTCCTGCGACTGTCCCTGTACAGGTCTCTGGTTCTGGGGGTGCTGGAGTTGGAGCTGAGCCGCGGGTTGCAGAGGACTCTTGTCTTCCGGGGGCTGGTACTGGTCGTGCGGAGTCTGGGGGTGCTGGTGCGGAGTCTGGGGGTGCTGCGTCTGGGGGTGAGGGTGTCCCTTCGGTTTCTAGAGAGCCTGGGTCTGGAGCTGGTGTTGGTGCTGCCTCTGGGGGTGGTGTACTTGGTGCTTCGGAGGTCGACTCTGGGGCTGCCGCTGCCCCGGACACTACTCCTTCCCCCCACCCCTACCCGACCAGGTTCCAGGCTCGTGTTCGCCGTGCTCGTGAGGAGCAGCTGGAGTTGGAGAGAGAGGAGAGAGAGTTGCAGCGGCTCGAGGAGCAGGAGCGACAGCAGCAGGAGCAGCAGCAGGGGCAGCAGCCGCTGGAGCAGCAGCAGCCGCAGCAGCCGCAGCAGCAGCAGCTGCCGTCTCCTCCTCCTGTCTCGGGTCTTCGGACCCTTGGTCTCCCCTCTCCCTCTCCTTCCTCCTCCCCCTCTCCTCCCGTCTCTGGTCCTCCGCTTCCTCCTCCTGACCCCTCTCC